TCAATACTCCATCCGTTCTACCACGAAAGATCTTCTAGAAATTTTACACAAATTAAGAAAAACAATCAATTTTGCATAATAAATGTATATATTCTTACAATAAACATTTTTTTTTTTAAAAATTGACCAATAGCCTTTTAATTGGTTTTTGAAAATTACAATCTATTAGCGTTAAATGACTAAAATACATTAAAAACACTAAATTTTTTATTTTTATAGAATAATCTTCGTTTTTGGAAAAAATTCATCTTTATTGAACTGAGAAAGCATTTCAAAAAATCTAATTTTGTAGTTATAACACGAATTATACCATTTTGGGTATCAAACTAATTTTTTATTTGTATCTGTAAACTCAATGCTAACCTCTACTTTCACACAAAAATAACAAGTTATCACAAAAAAGCCACCATGTTCTGATCTCCGTTCTAGGTATCGCTTAATGTTATTTAGGATGATTTGGATCTGAAACTAACTGGCAAGACGAGTATATACCCTTCTTCGGCCTATAGATAGAATACAGAGCCCAAGTTCTTGTATTAGAATTTTGGGTTATGCATGAAACCTATTTTTTACGCGCTAAGTTCAAATTTTTTGATTACCTCTGTTTGAATTTTCAGTCAAAAGTAAAACATTTTCATCTTATACATGTTAGGGTAAAAGCATATGGTCCATACTCGAAGAATGATTAAAATACAGACAGAGCCTATAGATAAAATACTGCATAGTAGAGACGTATGGTCAGCTAAGTAGCGCAAGAAAACAAGTAAAGTACGTGAAAAGCATTTGAATGCATCATATCAAGTCAAGCCCATAAGTTCAAACTCAGCCCAACTAAAGATGCGAAGCCTACTATCAAAGCCCGGGCATGTAAAAATTTAAATACTACTCCATTTATTTCATAAAACGAATCTGGCCTTTTGGCTAAAATACTCACACTGAGCCCATTTTTCTCGAGACTAAGTGTAACACTCCATAACCTATCTAGGCCTAAACCGGCCCAGAAGTATCACAATATGATATCCATAGACGGTTCAAACCAAGTTCTAGAACAAATCTAGAGCCTAAGTCAAACCATCCATGAAATCATGTTCCTCTTGAGCATGGCCTAAGGCCTTTCAACTCGTTCCAAACTCTCGAGTTGTGTCAGTCCGGACAAAACTTATATCGTCGAACACTCGCCAATTTTAACAAAACATTTCTTACATTCATAATGTTAAACATAGAAACATTACAAAACATATAGGTCCGGACAAGGCCTATTGCCAAAGTAATATTACATACCTTATAAACAAAAACCATATTTTACAAAAGACAACCAAAACTACTATGATGGTCCTATCGTTCCGAACTCTTCTAAGGTTTTTCTCAACGGTTACCTGCAAAAAGAAAGGGATCAGTAATCTAGTATTATTTCAGTGAGTTCGGCTCCCTAACATGCATTAAAAAATGTCCCCAC